AAAATGATTTTTTTTTAATGGAAAGGAAGAAAATATCAGAGTGGATGTCAAAAGAGACTCTGAAACTTGCTCTTAATCAGAGTAGCTAGGCAAATGGAAGAAAGGGTGAAGTAAAGGAGCTGAAAAATAGATAAATCTAAATATTACAAGGAAATGTGCCAGGATCTTGAGTTAGGAACTCGAAAGGGAAGAACATGCTCAGCATGTCTTAAACTGAAAGAACTCAAGAAAAAAATTCAAGCTTCAAATTGCAATCTTGAAAGATTCTGTAGGCAAACTATTGAATGGTGCAAGAAGCACCAAGAGAAGATGAAAAGAATCTGTCACTGAACCAAGAAGAACTAGTCAACGATTCATCATATAAGCAAGAACTAGTGGTGCTGGAGGAAGAAGTTCAGAGTACTGAATGCATGACCCAAACAAAGACTCCAGGAAAGGTGGGAACACCCACTGAAACGTTTCAGAAAGCTGAAAAAGCACTGGAAGCACTCCCTCATCTACGCCAGTAAATTTGGAAGACAGCTATCTGGACAACTGACTGCAAGAGATCCTTATTTGTGCCCGCTCCAAAAAAAGGTGATCCAACAGAATACTCAAACTACAGAAGGGTATTACACACAAGTTGCGTAAGATCACCCAACAATGGTTGTGGCAGCAGTATTGACAGGAAACTGCCAGAAGTTAAGGCCGGATTTAGAAGAGGTCGTGGAACAAGTAACATCATTGCTGATGTCTGATGGACCTTCGCTAAAAAGCAGAGAATACCAGAAAGATGTTTACTTGAGTTTCATTGACTATGCAAAGGCATTCGGCTCGGTGGTTCATAACAAACTATGAATAGTATTAAGAAGAATGGGAATTCCAGAACATTTCATTGTGTTCATGGGGAACTTGTACATGGATCAACAGGCAGTTGTGCAAACAGAACAAGGGAATCCTGCAGGGTTTAAAATCAGGATAGGTATGGGTCAGTGTTGTATCCTCTCACCACAGTTATTCAACCTGTTTGCTGAGCATATATAATTAGAGAAGCTGTATACGAAAAAGTATGTGCATCAGGATTGTAAGAAAGCTTATTAACAGCCTGGAGTATGCAGATGGCACAACCCTGCTTGCTGAAAGTGAGGACTTGAAGCACTTGCTGATGAAGATCAGGGACTGTAGTCATCAGTACAGATTACAACTCAAGGTAGAGAAGACCCAAATCCTCACAACTGGACCAACAGGTAACATCATGATAAATGGAATAAAGGTTGAAGTTGTCGAGGATTTTATCTTGCTTGGATCGACAATCGATGCTCAAGAAGCAAGTCAAGAGACGAAAAGACATTGCATTAGATAAATCTGCTGCACAAGATCTCTTTACAGAGCACTGAAGAGCAAGGATGTTACTTCGAAGACTAAAGTATGCCTGACCCAAGCCCTGGTATTCTCTATTGTCTCACATGCATGTGAATGTAGAACATCGAATAAGGAAAACCAAAGAAGAATCAATTAATTTTAATTATGGTGCTAGAGAAGAATGTTGAAAGTACTATGGACTGATAAAAGGACAAACCAATCTGTCTTGGAAGAATTAAGGCCAGAGTACTCTTTCCAAAGATGGAAAGACCATCTTACATATTTTGTACATGTTGTCAGGAGACCAGACCCTAGAGAAAGACATCATGTTTGGTAAAGTGGAGGGGTGGTAAAAAAGGAAGGCATTCAATAGC